GGCAGCGCCCAAAGTCATGATGGGCAGGCAGAGGAGGGAGCAGAGATCGGGCGTGGCCTGGGCCGGTGAGTGGGGCGACCTCTGGGGCTGGGGGCCCAGGCTGCTCTTCTCGGGCTTGTAGCAAGGCGAGACCTCACACCTGTGGGGGCAGAGTCAGGACAGGCTCACATCCCTCCAGCCACTCCCAGGCCTCCGGGTGGGGACAGCACAGACACGGACCCTCCCCTCCACCCCACGCAGCTGGGGCAGAGCCGCGCCCCTTCCTACCTGACCACACTCTGCAGGATCTTCCTCTCATCCTGGTCCAGGCACACCGCAAAGGGGCAGATTTTGGAGCCGATAATCTGTACCTTGTCCACTTCGATCTGCGAGGTGCTGATCTGGAAGGAAGGCCCAGGTGAGTCCCCTGGGATTGCCCACTACCCTGGGGTGGGGTGGGCGTTTGTCTGTCAGCTCTCTAAGGCTAATGGCCAGCGCAGGGGAGGGGTTCTGTGGGCGGCTCAGGCCCTGGCTCCGCCCCAGCCTCTGCCCTTTCCTGAGCCTGGAAGAAGCAAATGCCCTCCGAGGAGAAGTTGCACTGCACTCACGCGCCACCCCCACCCCGTCCCCCTGCAAGAGCCCTGGGGGTCCCACAGCCCGCTCTGCTGACTTAGGGCAGAACCCTTCCACACCACATATCCTCTCACAGAGCCCCCCTTCCTCCTAACGCCCCACAGCACCCCACATGTGTGCACACCCAAATCTCACCCCTCCCCTTGCTTCCCCTCCCCCTCAGCCGCCCATCGCCTTGGACACCCCTCCTCTCACACAACATGCCCACGTGCACGCACACAGGTGCACACTCACCCCCAGTCAGTCTCCTGAGGGTGTGGCTTCAAGGAGAGGGAAGCCCTTACCTGGTTAAAGCCCTTCTTGGATTTGGGGTTTTGCCTCTTCACCACTTCCGTCAGGTTTAGCGTCAGGGACTCTACACCGGAGTCTGAAGGGCAGGGGTGCTCAGGCCAGGCCCAGAGCCCCTCCCCACCACCACCCTGCACTGCCCACCCACCCGACCAACCTAGCTCCTCCTGCTTCCGGCAGGCCTTGTTGAGGTTGATGGAGGTGCAGACTTTCTCCATGTTATTCCAGCGACTTCGTCCACTGATGGCCCCCTGCAAAGGCAGCAGACCAGGCCCTCTCTCAGCTCGGGGCCCCGTTGCCTGACACCTTCCCTTCAAAGAAGAGGCCCAGATTGCCCGGGCCCGGAGCTGCCTGTCGTGGGCACACCCAGGGAGCTCTCGCTCCTTCACCCAGGTCTGCCGGCTCCTTCACTGAGACCCCTGGCCCCTGAGGAGACCTTGCTGACTCCGGGGAGGGCGTGATGTCGCTGGCTTGGTCCATGGGTCAGCCTTGTGACCAGGTCATAGGACACGAGAGCTGAGAGCACCTAAGGGGTGGCCTTGATGACCTCCTGCTGAGCCTAGAGTGAGGAAGAGAGGGGCCCACAGCCCTGGAGCTCCCATTAGAGCCAGCCTGCCACCTTCTTTCATGGGGGACCTCCATGTTGCCAAACCCAAGTGGGTTTCTCGGTCCTTGGTCAATCTCAAGGTCAGCTTCTGTTCACCCCTCTCCTCCCCTAGGCTTTTGTGAGGGCACACGCCTGGTTCCCCACCACCTTTCAGCTGGGCCTCTGCTCAGCCCGACACCCTCCTCTGCCTGCGGTCACATGACACAGGTCTCAGGACCTTCTCCTGGCTCCTCCGCTCTTTGCACTTCTACTTTCTCCATTAGGGAACCTCGACCACCTATACACCCCTCCTCATATTCCATGTCTGAGTTCAGGCCCATCCATCCAACTGCCCACTCTGACTTCTTCCTTCTGCCTCTCAAGGGCACTGCAAACTCACAGGTCCCGCATGCATTCCTGATCTGCTGCTACCGGACCTGGGCTGCTTCTGAGACGATGCATTATTAGTCTCAGAAGACTGAAATCCGGGAGTCCGGGCCCCTCTTTTCCCAACCCACCCCTAAGCCCTGCTGCTCACATAATCCACATCTAGCCCCTGTTCCTTCCCATCTCCACCACCGCCAGCTAGACCTGGCGGCCACATTTCTCTCCTGGAAAACCACCGGAGCCTCCCATGGGCCTTGCCATGGCCCCTGTGGACCCGCCAATCTGTTCTCCACAGAGCTGCCAGGAGGCACCACCCCAAACTTAAGCCCCTTCCAAGAATACCCACTGCTCTTATGACCGGAGAAACTCCTCTCACTATCGTTAAGGCCCTTGGTATTCTGGCCCCGCCTCTCTCTTTAGCCTCACCTAGTCGCCTTTGCTGTTCATGCTCTCTTCTACCACAGGCCCTTTGAACATGCTGCTTCCTCTGTCTGGGGAATGCACTCCTCTCTTTTTAGCTTAACAAACGAACTCCTGTCTCCCCCCATCCCCCCAATATTGACTCAATGTTCCTTCTCCAGCAAGCGTCTAACTTTCCAGACTGGGCTGAGGAATCCCCTGGAGGTTCTCCCAGTACCATGTACCTCTCCTCTGTCTGTTTGTCACAGTTGTAATTACGCATCTGTGGGTCCATCTAACCAATGCCTACCATCCCTCTAGGCTGTCAGCATTTTGTTCACTCTTGACAACACTCCCTGTGCCCAGAACAATGTCTGAGGCCCAGTAGGTGCTAACAAACACCTGGCGCACAGCTCTCAGGGTCAGTCCCGCCTGCCCACCGCCGTGGCCACCAAATGTAAAGTAGCCCCATGATCACCATCCCACCAGCCCTTTGATTGCCTTGTCATCACTCGCCACTCGGACATGACCTTGGCCATTTCCTCGTTTCCTGTCTGTCTCTCTCTTCTGAAAAAGCTAAAGGCAGGGCCCAGCCCTCCCTGCTTACTGCATTCTCCCTTGCCCAGCACAGGGCCTGGCAGGAGTCGGTGCTAAATAAATACCTTTTGAATGATTGAAAGAAGGACGAAAGAAAAGAAGGCAGAAGGGCCCCATTGTTGAGGTCAAGGCTCTCACGGCCTATCCCCCAAAGTGTGACAGGCTCAGAGACGCGTGCTCACGGGCACCCCTTCCTCCCTCACCTCAAATATCTCTTCACTCACGGATCCCACCTCCCATGCACCCAGACTGGCACACCGGCCCCAGAGCATGGCCTCTCCCTCGTGGTGCCTCTGGAAGCCCAGCCTTGCCCCACTCTCCACCCTAGCCCTGTAGCCCGGCCCTGACACCTCACGGCAGCTGCTGGGCACATCCAGGAGGGGCAGAGCACAGGGGGGAGGCACTGTGGGCTCCAGCTTCAACACTGGGGCCCGGGAGCCCGATCTGACGCTGCGTGAGGAGGACCAGGAGCAGACCCCAGAGGCCGTGGCCCAGCGCCATCTTACCTTGCTGTAAATTATCTGTAGTGTTAGAGGGACGGCCTCCCGGTCCCCATCAATGCCCAGCCTCTTGCTGCCAGGACCTGTGCCACACGCAGACAGACCCTTCACTCGGTGCCCCTTACAAACCCTGGGGCCCTACCTCCCCGGCCCCCACCTCTGGCCCTCCCTCCCCAGGGCTCCACCTCCCGGGGGGGTCCCCCCCACCTGTCTCCCCGGGACTCAGGCAGCACTCACCTGAAGCCTTGATGGCTCGTGTGGCAGCAGAGTGACCCAGCTCCAAGGAATGAATGAAGATCTCCGTGGTCTTCTCCCCGGTGATGAAGGTCAGCTGCAGAGGGCAAGACCGGGCGTCAGGGTGAACCTCCTGCAGGGACCCTCCAGGCTCCTCCGGCTCAGGGCCGGGGGCTGCCACGGGGTGGGGACGGGGCACAGGCTGGGCCCGGCGATGTGAGGGAGGCTGCCTGTGAGTCCCAGGGAGCAGGTGGCCGGGGTGGCAGGCACTCACCTCTGTCTGGTAGACCTGCAGCAGCACCGGCCGTGCAGCGAAGCGGCAGTAATAGAGCAGCATGTCGGCCAGGATGGGCAGCTGGCTGGAGGAGCCCTCCAGGGGCCGGGAGTCAGCCTTCAGGGACTGCTGCGTCGGGGGAGCCAGAGCCGGAGGGACAGGTGGACAGCGAGTGGGAGGGAAAGGGAAGACGAGAGGCAGAGAGGCAGAGGAACATGCACACACATGCAGAGGGAGACACAGAGGAGAGAGCCAGGGACGGGGTGGTGAGGCGAAAGCAGAAAATAGATGGTCAGGGGAGCACCCACAGCCGGTCTCCACACGGCTCCCTGGCCTGGCCCGGGGGCTCAGGAAGGCCCCTGGCAGAGCTGGACGGAGCAGAGCTGAGGACGGGGCCCAAGCCCCAGGTCCCCTGGATCCTTCTGAGGAGCCTTCCTGTCACTGTGGTGACTGCACCCCTTGCCCCTGAGCCCTGTCCCACTTCTCGCCTACTCTCTCTGCTCATCCCCAAGGGCACCCTGGTCCTCCGTGGAGTCCTCGAGCTGGAGCTCCCCAAACCAGGGCCTCTGAGCGAGGCTGGGTGACCCCAGCCAGCGGGCCTTCCCTCCCCTCCCAGGGGCCGCTTACCTGGCACAGGACCTCGGGGGGCAGGTGCATGAGGCCCAGCACGTTGCGCTCATACCAGGGGTCGAGCGCGCCGAGGTAGTGAGAGATATCGTTGGTGCTCTCCTCCCACTGGGCCGCGCCCAGCTCCTGAGACAAGGGCAAGAGTCATGCCCGGCGACCCCGGAGGCCTGCCCGGGCCCTGGGCAGCCCTGCCACCCGCATCTGAGCTTCCCCCTGCCCTCGGACAGGTCTGTGGCATACAGCAAAATGCCACCCCCACGTGCAGGGCAGGGACCACCCCCGGCAGCAAGGGCCAGGCGGGAGAAGGTGCCCACCACCACAGTGATGGCTTAGTGGCCTCCAACCAGCCCTCTGGGACAACTGCCACCTGCTCACATCCACCTACTTTCCCACCCCGTTTGGTGCAGGGCGGGGACATACTGTAGGGAGGGGGTGCCTCGGGGACTCAGGGGGCAGGGGCGGTGTCTGGCTCCGAGGGGCCGGGCAGGCGCTGGAGCAGGCCCCCTGGCTTCGCTTCATGGGCACGTAGAAGAACTGCAGCTTGAAGAACCGGGTGAGGAGGGGGCGATTGCTCTCCAGCAGCCTGGAAACAAGAAGGCAGTGAGAAGGTGCCCTGGGTCCCTGTGGGAGGTCAGCTCAAGCCTGAGATGCCACCAGCACCAGCACCCCGCCACCCCGGCTCTTACCGCAGGTTGCTGTAGGCCCGGGCTACCTTCCCCGAGATCCGATCAGAGCCGAAGACCACCACGCGGAGGGTGGAAGCCTTGGGGTCCTCGTCCCCGCTCAGGAAGGGGCGGCGGCGCTGATGGCGCGAGGCGGGTGCCAGGAGCCAGCTGGGCAGCTGGGTGCTGAGCTTGGCCTGGGGCAGGGAGCGGGAGCGCTGGGCCCGGGACGGGGGCGGGCCCGGGCTGTCCAGGGGGCTGCAGAGGCTGCCGGCCCGCCGCAGGGGCAGTGTCGAGTCCAGGCTGCCCTCCAGGCCGCGAGAGTCCCTCCGCAGCACCAGTTGGCTGGTGCTCTTGAACAGTTTGTAGATCCTGTTAAACTTCTGCCCGGGCCTGCGGTAGCCCCGGCGCTCCCGGCCGCCCGGCCTCTTGGGCCACTCCGGGGAGCTCTCCTCGCTGTCCTCCACGTAGCCGCTGTCCATGCCGTCCGAGAGGCCCGAGACAAAGGAGGTCAGCAGCTGGCTGGAGAGGGTGGCCCCCGAGGCCTGGGATGAGGCGAGGGACAGGGTGGAGTCACGGGAGGCCTCCGAGCTGGTGGAAAACAGTGAGTCCCTCTGGGCACACGGTCCATCTGTTTCCAAGTCCTCCTCCTCTTCCTCCTCCTCCTCCTCCTCCTCCTCGTCCTCGTCCTCGTCCTCGTCCGCGTCCCCCAGGAGCCCCGGCTCCAGCAGCTCCTGTTCCTTGAGCAGCATCTCCTGCAGGACGTCTGCACGGGAAAGGGAGGCACCGCTGGGTGTCCGGCCCGGGAAACCTCTCCCGCTCACCTCTGGGAGGGCGACAGGTTCCGACAGAATGGATTTGGGGAGGAGGTGCCAGAAGGCGGATCAAGTCCAGCCCAGGACTCAGCGTGCGGCCCTCTGCCCTGCTCAAGCCTGCTCAGGCCGGAGGGCTGGTGTGGAGGGGAGGCTGCTGCACAGACGGGGCGGGAAGAGAGCCCAGGCCGCTGGGGTGGGCACCACAGGGCCCCAGCCAGCTGCTTACCAAAGCTGTCCTGGTTCCAGCTGTAGGTGTAGCACCTGGCGACAGGGATGGGGATGGTGCGGAGCTTGCCTGGGTTGGCAGGATCTGTAAGAACGGGTAGGGCCGGCCCAGGTGAGGCTTGGGAAGGGGCCTGGGGATCGGCCAGGCCAGTGCCCTCGCCTTAAAGAAGAGGGCAGAGTTGGGAGAGGACGGGCCAGGCCGCGAAGCTGGGTGGGCCAGGACGGAGCTGGAGCTGAGAGCTGGGGTGCTGGCTCGCAGCCAGAGGGCACCGTGGGGGTGCCATGCCCTGGCATACGCTGTGTAAATGTGGCGGCACACACTGCGCCTCCTTTTACAGGGACCAAACAGCAAAACAAGGGCACTCCCCCTTCAGATGCGAGGACACCGTGTCCCTTCTTCTGCGGTAACACGGTGTGGAGAGGAAGTTTCCCAGGCTCCTCGGGGTGAGGTGTGGCCATGTGACCAAAGTGGGCCAAGGGATATGGGTCGATGTGACGCGCCCGACTTCCGTATTGTCTTCACGTCAAGTGAGAGGCCCTTGCCCTTGATTAGCACACGCTTTTCCTCTTCCCACAGCCCCACATGGTGCACCCAGCCCTGACCCCGCAGGCAGGACCCGGGCACCAGGCACCAGGGTGGAGGGCATGCTGAGGAGCGTGGTCCCCAGGGGCAGTGTGGAGCAGAGCCTCCAGCCGACCAGGACTGTTCACGGTGGGCGCCAGAGCAGGCGACGGGGAAAGTGGGCCCCCCTGTCCCAGGCCTCACCTAAGACTTCGGGGAAGCCGGCTTTCTCTCCCACCGCCTTCAGCTTGGTCCTGAGCCACTGCCGGGCCTGGGCTGCATCCCCGATGCCAGAGGCCAGCTCCTGGGCCTCTGCCGTCTCCGTGTAGACGTCTTCAAGCTCGGCCAGCGCCTTGGACTGGAACCCCAGGAGGAGACCGGCTTGCTCCTGTGCCATGGCCGGCTGCCCGCCTCCATTTCCCAGGTCTTACCCAGGGCAGCAGGGCCCAGGCCCTCCCAGCCTCATCGCCCATCTCCACCAACAGCCCGGGAGCCAGGCCTGTCCCCAACTCCCCTCTGAGGACATGGTCATGAGAGAAGGGCCCAGAGCAGAGGGTCTGTCCAGGGCCTGTCCCAGAGCTGGGGCCAGACACCAGTCTTCCAGCTTCAGTCTGAATCTCGTTCCCCTGAGGCGGGTCCCACCCACACTGGTCAGGCCCCAGCACAACAGAGAGCCCCTTGGCAGGGCCGGCTCTCCAACCACCGCCCGCCATGCCTCCGAGTGAGGGAGGCCAGTGTACCCTGGAGACTGCAGCCCTAAGATGGAGCAGACGCAGGTCAGCGAGAAGGGGGCAGGGTGGACCCCGGGCCCCAGACACATACCTGCAGCCTGCAGTGCAGACCCGCGAGGTCACAGTGGGCCCCGAAGGTGGCCTGGAAGGCGTGCAGGAGCAGGGTGATGTAGGCGCTATGGGGCGAGTGCCCAGGCGCGCTCAGCTTGTTGGCCACGGCAAGGAACTCCGCCTGC